ATATATATATATATATCTACATTACATACACACACATACTATACATACACATACATATATATATATATAAATACATACATAAATGTGCAAAGGTACATTTAGAGATAAACATAATGTACATTAAAATTTATGTTATAGGACCGAGATGGACGACATAAGTGACAACATGTTACACAACGGTGTTCAAGTTTTTGAAAGTTGTCTACATTTAGCCAATGGATGACCATGGAATATTAGTGTTTCAAAGCCTTTTATTATATCCTTACTCTTGTCCTAGACATTTTATCTGAAAATTGAAAATATACATGTATGGGAATTTTGATATGTATATTTTCCACTAATATTATCTATATATATATTCCATATATGTACACGTGTATTTAGTTGTAGCCTGTTCATTTTATCTGAAACTTTCAAAATGTTCCATATTATTGGGAAAAATATTTAAAAATATTTTTATGCAAAATAGATGTTTCTTTTTGTCATTCGTCTGTAACTTCATTCGCTCGCATATATAATGGGTGTCGACTCGTCATAAGAGTATGACCATCGCTGATAAGTTAAATCTATTGTTACGGTTTTTGATTTAGAAATGTCCTTCCCTTAGACTAATTGCCAACCACGGTTAGAGAGTCAAGTCCATTTAACTCATAATTGGGGGAGAAAATGATTCATCTCTTTACCACTGGGGATTTTCGTGTAAGCAAATACAGGGTGTCCATAAAGTTTGTGTGCAATTTAAAAACATTATAACTTTATTTGCATTTGCTATAGAAATAATTTGTATTTGCCATAGAAATAATTTGTATTTGTAATTTGTAATATTTTGAATATTCTTTTACCGAAACATTTTAAACCTTATTTTTATATACAGGTCGTTACACTTTACCGGCTTTTGCTGCCTATTCTATGTCCAAAGTGGCTTGCATTGCATTTTCGGATGGCCTGCGACAGGAAATGAGCAAATTTGGGATCAAAGTCATTACAGTTGAACCAGGACTTTACAGGTAAGAAAAATTGTAGATTTTTGCTATAAAGGACAACAGAGAGTTTTATTATTATTGTCAGTAATTAAAAACTTCAGTCAAGAATAGAAAATAAAGATATAAAATACAAGAACAAAATAATGTTGAATATTTTTCCGTTATAATCGATTCATTCTGATCATTTATTTTGATTCTGATTTATCGTTTATTCAGGTTTTATTATAATCATTGATTTTTTAAAGATCAGTTTTATTTTTTTTAATGATCAGTTGTATTTTTTCAAATTAGTTGTTTTTTTAAAAGACCAGTTTTATTCTTTTTAAAGATCAGTTTTATTTTATAAGATCAAGTGTATTTTTAATGATCATTTGTTTTATTCTGATTGCTATAAAATATTAAATTTACAATAATAAAAAAATCGTTCAAGTAATTTCTTTCTTCATTTAAACTTAAATATTTCTTAATCTTCATTTTACTAGTTGTCAGAAATTCATTTTACGATAGTTTTAGTCTGTTAAGATCTAACATATTTTAAAATTTTTATTTTGTTTATACCATTTAAATATTCTTTATTTAATTTTTATTTTTAATGTCTCTCTCTCTTTCTCACTCAGAATGAAAGATATACGTGAGACCACTGTCCTTCACTACTTCCTTTTGCTACTTGGCTACTTGCTCCTTTACGAACCCCACTCTTTCTCTGTCACTTGTTCCTGCATCTATTCGCTAAAAATTAATAAACGCTTAATAATCGACAATATTATCTTGAATTATTAAATGAAAGCCAATAATCCCTCTGATAGCTATTGATCTTCAAAATTTAATTATCCAATGGCATATTTACTACTTTACGAGAAACATTAAAAGAAGCATTGGTAATCGCATAATTTATGATGGTTAAAACTGAACACTAGAAATATTTTCGATGGACAAAATTCGCGAGCAGAAATGCTGAATGAACCCCTAATGAATCCATGGTCATTAAGGTAATTTGTAGAAAAGCTAGGAAGCGTTGAAAACAGATCGTAATCATATTTCATTCGAGACAAATATAATTTGATTAAATTCCAGATTTTAGTTCACAGCAATGTTTCTTTAGTTGCTCGTAGAGATTAAATTTTAAGAATATTTAAAAATCATTTCATCCCAAACAATACAATAAAGCCACTAAGACGCAAGGGGTTACTGAGGAGGATAGAATATAAGAAAAAGAAAACATTATTAAACAGAGAAAATAATAAAAGAACAGGAATTAAGAAAACAGAACATAACGACTGACATTGCCTTTAAAATTTTGAATATCAAAGTTGTCTGGAAAGTAAGAAGCCGGAAGAGAGGTCCATAAGTGTTTGAGAAGAAATTGTTAGCATAGACGTTGCCGCCAATCCCTGAAAATTACGAGGAACATATTTATAGAAAGGTATAGGGAAGCTAAGTTACGATAATGGGAGATTGCAAGGTTAGGACCAATAACATTTCATATTTTTTTTTGGATTTTATCAAGAATCTCTACATATATAGCAGAAGCACCAGACCAGATGTGGCAGCAATATTCAGTGCATGGATGGGTGGTAGACTTATGTAAGATAAATTCTGACGAAAAAAATTGTTAGCAGAAAACGTTAGCCCGAGTAGGCAAAATGAATGATTCTCCTGGAGGTTAGCATCAGCCATACCGAAGGAAGGAAAAAAGGTTCTCTCAGAGTGAGCAGTTTTGTTTTGGAGGCGTTAAAATTAATAAGCCATTTGTTGCCCAAGTTAAAATTTTAGGTAATTGTTGAGATCAGCTGCTAATTTGACCCTATATTTTGTTAACATTGTGATCAAATTAATGAAAAAACTTTTCCTTTTTTATTTAAGGACACCAATCGCAGTTCAAATGATGGCTGAAAGCAAGAAACGGTGGGACGATACTCCGACAGAGATCAAAGATGCATATGGAGAAGAATACTTTGCAGGTTTCATTGACTTAATTAAATTTCAGATGAATCGAGCCAGGGAAAACGTTGAGGAGGTCGTTGATCTGATGATAGAAGCTGTAACCACCACAAACCCACACATTCGATACGTCCCTTATTGGGTAACTAAAATCCGTTCCACCATTTTAATGCATTTACCAAGCGTCATTCGAGATAAACTCTTTCGTCTCTATTCTGTTCGAGTTGAGCCAAGATGCATGCACAGTTCTCCATAGTTTTAAACAACTTCTATCATTGAACAGGTTTTAAGTACCGACTGATTTGAAGATTTTATTTCAACAACAAAAATCATTTAGAAAATTCAAGAAGAATAAAACGAAACTGCTGAGAAAAAAAGTTACTCCCATCCATCAGTTCCAATATCATTGCCATGTCATAAAAGATGTACAATGGGAGCAACTTATTTTTGTAGTATTTAGCATTGGCATCGCTTCCCAGCATTCCTCTGTTATAATCAGGAAAACAAAAATGCAGTCATTTTAGCCTAAATACCTCATTTTAATTACATTTCAAAGATATATAATCGAGAATAGTCTAATTTGAGAGAGTAACATCTACAATTTTTTGTAATGCAATTAGATACTGAGAGGAGATTTGAAATTGATTTTGGAATCATCTAGAAGTGTTTCATTTGTTTCCCAAAATAGCAACTGACTAGGGTCTGCAAATAGAGAATATGAGGCATCTTAAATGTTAAAGAAAAATGTTTCGTTTTGTCCAAGGAGTGAATTGGATATTGAAACTTTATTACTGACTTAGTTGGCGTCATTGAAAGATGTAGACTCCATTTATTAAAGTCTTCATTCATTAAAACTTGTTATCGGACTGAAGATACCAGTCTATTTATAATACATAGATCATTATCCTATATATTATGTATATCACGGACTTAGTGTTTATGTGTGTGTGCGATCAACAACGAATTAGTATTTTCTTGTCATTAGAATTCATACATTATTATATTGTTCTTACACTTCTTGTAAATGTTCCATTTAAGATATCCTCTTCAGTAAACATACATATACTATTAAATGTCGAGTATCTGTCAATATATCGACAAATCCATGCATGAAAACCAAGGCACATAGTCTTCAAGTGACACAAGCTGACCAAATTTACCGTAATTGAAAGACAAAAATAAAAACGTTATAAATAAAAACATTTTACGTTTATGAAATATATATATATATATATATATACATACATATATATGTATGAATTTTTTAATTTATTAATCCGAAAGTTTTTATCAGTTAAATGTTATTTTTAATGGATACCCATATTTGATTAGACGCTCCGTGTATTTATTAAACAGACGAACATCATCTATTCAAATATCGGTATATATATATATATATATATATATATATATATATATATATATATATATATATGTGAATTAATGGATTTTTTTTGTATTTTATCACTTCAAAGTAATAAAAAATATATCAGATTAATAAATAAAATCCATTAATTCTTTAGAAATTGCTTTGTTTACGTTTCGGATTTGAAACTGTTATGATTTTCGAAGAAATCTGAACAAATAAAATGTTCTTTAAGGCAAAATAGAACATTTTGATTGATTATGTAGTTCTTTGTAGCCGATTAGTCAAAATAACGTCGGATCTAACAACATTTTCTCCTGCAAAGGTGGACGCAGGTTCGAATCCTGCCAAAGAGCACATTTTCTTTAATAAGATTTCTCGAATTTTCGAGCCGGTATACGAAATAAAATAGTGTTTAAAAAGAAACGCAGCGTCAGCTGAAAATATGTATCCACCAAAAATTACGTTTTATATATATATATATATATATATATATATATATATATATATATATAGGATAAGTAAAAAATACAAAACGTTTACAATGCTTCGCTTTTATTTTAGCTTCATCAGAAATTAAACATGGAGAAAAAAATTCTGATATTTTTGTGTTTTATTTTTATTGGTTATTTAACCAATAAAAATAAAGATATCACAGTCTTTGTCTTGTCAGGTAGCGTTTGTGTATATAATTCTTGTATGCATGTGTATCATAATTCTAATTGGTCTTTGCGGGACTACAGCCACAAACAGTGTAACTTAAATTCTTTCACTTCCACATAAAACCTCCTCTAATCAGGATACTGACACTATGAGACAGAAATAAAAAGGTACAAATGACGCACACGCTCGTATATGCACACACACATCATCAAACAAATCCTAGATAGATCAACTAGAAATAGGATAAACAAAAACATATTTAATTTCTGATGAAGCTTAAATAAAACTAAAACGTTAGATTTGTAAACGTTTCCAATATGTTCGTTATCTTATCATTCTTTCAGATTCTAATCCATATTTGATCCAAATTCATATGTGTATGTGTGTGTGTTTTGTGCGTGTGTATGTGCCCAGAAATGTTTTAAAAGTTTAAGTGAAGCAAAAATTTCTCTGTTTATAATTACTTTACGAATGACAAATTTGAAGTAATAAAACTATTGTGAACTAAGTCTCATTAAAATTAAAATCATTGAAATAATGCTAATCAAAATGAATTTGTTCATTACTCATTAACTCTATAAACACGCGGAAATGCTTTATGTCATACTGTATTTGTCATGACAAAGCAGATCCCATGACTCACTAGGATGCAAATTATTTTTATTTATAAATAGGATTAGTTGTTAAAAATTACAAATGTTTCCTTCAATCTAAAAATCATACCGTTATGTGTGATTAGCTTTTAGTCACTATGCCTACACAGATTTATAAATTTATTAAATTTTAAGAAAAAAATATATTTTATTAAATTCATCGAGTGATAGTAGTCACTTTTCAAGAATTATACCAATTTGTTATTTATTATTTATCCTGATTTGGATAAAACAATTTAGTAAACAAACGAAATCTCTTTTATTCAGTAAAGAAAACTTTCGTTTACATTTACTTCATGTAAGGCTTACAATCTTAATTCGTATAGATAAATTATAATTTATTTGTAATAATATCGAATTTTTTGAATGATACATATATATTCATCCGTGAAAATAAAAACAGTGAAAACCCTTTGAACACACACTATTTTGCATATATGTTGGTATGTGTGTATGTGTGTGTTCGTTTTTCTCATTATAATGCCGTGATGCATTGTTACATTGAAAAAGTATTATTTATTTTTATAAATATGATAAAATGTTTAATTATGGATAGCTTTATCTGTATAATTCAATTAAAAATTCTGGTGAATAGTCACAATTTTACCCATATTGGTTATCATTAATTTTCAATTCTTTGTTATAGCGTGTGTGATGTATTTGTATTTTATTTTGTATTACAAATAATAAAATGAACTATTGGAAAACCTTTGTGTATTTTTAATTATATTTTCAGTGGTTCATTTGTACTACTTCCAACACTGTAAGATGTATATCGTTTTAAAAGTATTCTACTCAGTTCGCAAACTATTACAAAATATGAATTTATTTCAACACTGAAAACTAATAATCGTTTATTTACCTAAATTTATCATCTGTTACTATAAACGCTGCAACTGTTTTTACGAATTATTTGGCCGGAGAAATCTATATATAAAATTCTGTAGACTTCCGTCCGTCCGTCACACCCTCTAAAATAGCCATTTATTGACCGATCGAAACGAAATTTCGGGGAGAAGTGCAAACAGGTAAGCGGGTAAACAGTTCAGTTGGTTTTACTAGGGTGCGTAACATAGTACAATAAATTTTCATTAATCTTTTGGAAAAAAATGTTTTATTATTTAACTTACAAAATACTCCCACTATTTAAAAAAAATAACAAATATTTATTTAATAAAAATGCAATATATTTTTGTATATCTTTTCTTTAAATTTTACATGGAAGAATCTAGTTTCCAGTTCACCAGAACTATAAACAAATTGAAAGGTCAAACGCTACAAAAAGTTAGAATTAGGCCTCAGAAAGAAATATTTACGTATGGCCAGTTGTATGTAAGAAATCCTAAGAATTTATTTGCTGTTTTTTTTGTCAATGTATTTTTCTAAACAAATCAGCTTATTCAAATTTCATCGATTGGTTTGCGAAATTGATCAAAATTTTTTAATTAAAAAAAGTTAAAATAGAAAAAATTCCCTAATTGCTTGGAAGCAACAATTTTGATAGCACCAACTCCCTTATAGCAGCCGAAAACTGTTGATATTTGTTTTAAACAAACTGATATAAAATATACTTAATTTTGGCGATTGTATTTATTATAGATATTTAGAAGCCTTGGCAAGATCGAGTACTTCTAGCGTATACAATCAATTAATCCAAAACTGAAAAATAATACCAATAGAAAGTTTACTAAACTTAGGTAAAATTCACGTCTTATATGTTTTATGTAATTTCATTTTTATATATTTTTATAGAAAATGATAAAAAAGGACATTTGTTATATTATGAAATTATTATGTCATTGTTGTAGGGTCCCTGTCAGTATGTGGTATTGTGGTATTGTGGTATATGGTGGATTGTATGATGGATAAGTTCTTGTGATGAATGAGTAAATGGTAATGAATGAATGGGTCGTGAATCAGATTAGCTGAGTTTAGGATAGTTTATGTTGAGCGACCTCACTCCTCTTCCCCTTCGGCTTTGTGCCACAATTGTAATTCAATTTACAATAAATCTAAATTCCCAACATTTTAACCCGTTAGGCCATTAGTGTATTTTGGACAATTCAGTGGTGTGATTTTAGAGACTTAATTTCCCTATTTAGCTGCTTTTTTTTAGAGTTATACCCCCACTTATAAAGGATATTTGTTATGACATAAAATTATTATGACATGAGTGTGTTTTTATGGTTCCTGTGAGTATTTGGCAATAAATCTACATATGCTTCTAAAACATCATATTATTCCAAAATCAACTTATTTCACGATAAAAAAGGGTAACTGATATGAATATAAAATCTCTCTGATATTTTTTTACAGAGGCTGAAACACGATCGCTTTA